GACGCACAAGAGACCATCTTGAGATCCACTGCCAGATGTCATAGGGCTCATTCTGTCAATAAACAGACAGGATATAGGGCCACAATGACCATGGAGGGTATATAATGGCAATTGGTCTTCCAGTCTGAAATTGAATTTAAAACTACGTAAGTCTAACTGGGAAAAGTTTCATAGAAATCATGAAATAAAGATACGTACCTATATACTTTAAGAGTGTGGTCTTGACTACCAGTTAAAACACGACCACCTTCACTGTCAAGCACGGTTATTGCTTGCTGGTGTGCTTTATGAGAACTAATTTTTATACAGCGAAGATCTTCTTCAGTTTGCATGATGTTATTTATATCCATAGGTGAACCAGCACTTCCTGTCCTAACATGAGCTAAAAAAAAAAAATGTAGAGTATGTTCAAACAATAGCACATATGAGATATTTGGAAATGAACTTACTTCTTCTATAGGAGGTAAATCCCCAATCAATTTGTTGACCTTCGCTATAACTTTCTAATTGTAGAAAGTCAATAGAACCATTTAATTTAGCTGCTACTACTCTACTGCCAATGAATTTTACGGCGGATATTCCAAGCCGCGATCCGTCATCAAATAAACACTGAAATATTTAATAAATTCTTTTTATTTTTATTAATCTCTAAAGAATTAATATCGGTATTCATTTATTTCTTTTTTTTTTTGCAATATTCACCTTAAATTTACCAGTAGTGCCTTCCCAAAATTCTAGACTTCCGTTAGCACATCCCACGACTATAAGATTCTCCTGATAATCCATACACCAAATAGGAGATACCACATGTGAGAATTGCACAATTTTGTCTGGATTCACAGTCATACTGTCCACTATACTGGACGAATTTAATTTTACACTCGGAACACACAATTGTTCTAAATTCTCTGAATTCTGTAACTCTATAGACTTATTATGTTCCTCTAAAAGTTGTTTATATTGACTGCCAAAGTCGAATCCTTGTTCACAATTTTGCCGTAGTTGGAGTTGTTCCATGCATGAAAACTTGATATTTATTGCTGGTTTTAAGTCAGGGAGATCATAAGCGTTCTCCAAACTTTTACGATAATTTTTCTTCCTTTCTAAGTTGACTTCGTTAGTTTGATAATCGTATTCCAATGTTTTTCCCATTGAATATTTTTTACTGTTATTATTCTGTCCTCTGTGCATATTATGTAATCCAGAAGAGGATTTTCTGCAATGGATAGCTGACGCAGTCGAATATAATCCAAATGAGTTAGTATTCTCCATTTCCCCTCTAGAGGGTGGCGAACCACTTTCATAATCTGACATTAACTCATCCATATCAGGCGTTGTATGATTCAAGTTTTTATGAGGGTTACTGAAAAACTGTTTTCTGTCTACGTGAACTAACTGTTCACCCGACGTTGCATCCCACACTTTAATGTGTCCAGCTAAACAGGTGCTGGCTATGGTATTGCCATCTGTAGCAATGCACTCTATTTCTTGAGTATGACCTTCGAGGACCAAGGGTAGTGCTTGTAAAACTAATTGCGTTGCTGAATCATGTGCCTTCTCTGCCTGATACCAACTTGCACGCCATTCGGCATAATTCCTCGAACAAACACATCTATAGAGCACAACCATTGTATAAGCAACAACAATAACACTAATGAGACACAAGATTGCCGCTAAAAATATTTCCATTGGACTGGAGGGAATGAAAGGAGCATCTGCGTTAAATCCTCGACTTTCTGATCTAGTTGGTACTTCCATATCTGTAATAAATTTACAATTAAATGATTGAACGGTTAATTTTTGTCGATGATTTTTTTCACATTATATTTACTAACCTGAGAAATCTAATGGGTCAAGGGCAACAGTCGCGAAACTCTGCCATTGAAAATGTTGCACATCATTTGGATTACTAATTTGTTTCGCTAACTGTGGATTAACAGCATGAGATAATTTCATAGTAGGTAATATAACTATACGTCCACCAGCGGCAGAGATATTGTACATTGAAAGAATCGAAGACCAATGATAAAGTGATAAACGATTCCAAGGTGGGAACTCTACTGGTCTTAATTTATTTAATTCATCGGTAATATTGTTTGTTAGATCATCCTAATGTGTAACAAAATGCGATAAATTAAAATTTATGTTCTGAAAATTCCACATGGTTAGCATTTAAGATAAAATAGCAAACAGTGATTTTTAAATTACCTGTTTATTCAAATGATCCGGAGCAATGATCGCAGAAGCAATTGATATTGGTTTCATAGTATTTAATTCGAAATAATTATTTGAGGACTGAGATCTGTCTACTGTGTACCCATCCAGGTCTGACTCTGGCTTTAACCTTTCACTGAGGTGTATAACATGTTCAACAATACCAGAATTGTAAACGATCATGCTGATCCAGACAACCATCCATACCATAAAGGCACGTTGAAATATTCGAGTTCTTGCCCAGAAATGCACCAAGCGTAAACGTTTTGGAATTTTACCAAATGTATGAGTGTTTTGTGTATTAGAAGCTATGACATTCGTCGGACCGTTAGACAAACCATTTAATCTCGGATGAGATTTTGATCGGAAAATATTCGGTTTCCTGTTCGTTATCGTTGTCGTAAATTGCTGTTTACGCGTAGTTGGTATGTTTGTCAAGTGAAACTTCGACGTTTCGTTAGACAACTCGGTTCGTTTAATATCGATAGCAAGAATTGTTGAAAAAAGCATCATTTGAAGGAAGAAATCATTGACTAATCCAACAATAGCAAATATGCAAAACTCTTGTATAGCTGGCACAAAAGTAAACAATCCAATTGTCAAGATTGTTACTTCTGTGAGGAGATTTTTGGTGATGGACCAACCCTCTTTGGACAGAGCTTGAGCAACACGTATTTTCGCATCCAAATGCGGTGGAGTACTCACTACACTTTTGGTTAGTACCAACACATTCTCCAGTCCTACGATAATCACCAAATATGGGAACACTTCTTTTCTACTTAAACTTACGGTTAAGCCAAAAAAAAAGCAGACACCCACAGTCATGGACAGTGAACTTATCACTGTTATTGTTGCACTAAAAGCTATTCCAATTTTTGATTTCACCAATTCTATTTTTCGCACAGAGAAATAGACATAAAAGAACAAAGCCAAAAATGTCATCATCAATGGGAAAAAGTCACTGTAATTAAATTCACCAGGATAAAAAATATGTAATGTTTCATCCATAGGAATGTAAGTAGCATTGTCACTTTCTATCTGATGAAGGTGATAATAGCTTTTTAATCTATGTTGTAATCCCTTTAAAAATCTGAAAATTAAATCAACCAATTAATTGTAAATGAATTAACAGTTAAATAACACGAAGCATAATATTTTTTAATTATATTTGTTAATTAATCACTCACTCAGGATCATAGTCCTTTAGATAAATAGTTACTGCATATTGTAAAATCCTTTGTCTAAGTCGAATTGGATATCTTTTAATTCCAGTTTCTTTTAAATTCATCCCAAACATTATTTCAGCTAAACTAATTTTTCCCTTTTGTAGATTCTGTAAAATACAATATGATTCAAATTATTTTTTAAATATTTTATTATTTCTAGATTATATTCAATTCATTGTTTTCATACCTGATATGAATATATGGTACTTATAAGATTCGTATCTTGTGCATACAGTTCAATACTTCGTTGCCACAAATTGGCAGGTGAAAGAACCAAACAATTATACTCAGGCAAAACTTCTGACTTTTTACCACTTCTCTTTTTAACTGCCTCAATGTGTAGACAAACTTGACCGAGTGTTTTCAATCTAGATGAAATAATAAATAATAAACACACATTATGATTTCAGAATTCAAATAAAAATAAACAATTTACGTTTCTGGATGCTGATAATTCTGTATGATTTCTAAAAGATTAAAAACTTCGTATAATGGACCCCTGAAAGCATCCATTAATGTCAGTTCCTCTGTCCATGGTATAACTCCAACCCTTAACACTACTTGTTGCACATAAAACACAGAGTTTTCTGTATTATTCTCAGGTACAATAGTATGGTTGATTATTGTCCTTGGTGCATTGCCAGGCATTGGTAAATTGACTAAAGGATAGCTATAAAATAAAAACCATTCTTTGATTTCTAATTAATTGTTTATAATTATACATGAAAGTGTATTACTAACCAACATAGCAATACGATCGAGATTGCCAATGAAATAATTGCAACAGGATGAGAGGAGCAGAACAGGCCATGGGCATAATACAGCCCTGCCACCCTATCTGGTAAACTACGAAACATTTTACCTCAAGGCTGCCTTGATAACATGTCTTACATCATGCAGATATATATATTATTAGCATATGACCTGCAAACATTTGACAAAAACATGTAATGGATACAACAAATACAAAGAGCAAAATAGATTTACCAAAACGAAAATACAAAGTTCAATACGTATGCAATAAACAGTAATGTGCAATAATTTGAATGTCTCATATATTATTCATCTAAATACTTGGAGGAAAAAATATCGCAAAAAAAGGAAACCATATCGTACGTATTTTCATCAAATTTCATATTACGCATTATTCTATTTGAATTTTTAGAAGAACGCAAAAGGGTCAATTACGCACGGAATGCAAGGTTACGGCGAGCAAATGCATTTTTGTTTGCGTAAATTTGTGACGCAATAAACGAAACTATCGGGTACGACGAGAATACACGTCACTTACTTATGCGTGCCGCATTAATTATATCGCTTTTCTCAGTTTCTTCGTCTTCATTTACATCGTTGAATAAATGGTTAACAAGTAAACACGAAATACTTCTCTTCCATGCAACAAAACCACTATTAAATGTACATTGTCACTTCTTTCACACGGTGCCAGAAGAAATTCTTCGAATCGCACTTCACGCAAATTATCAAAAAAGCACATCAATGCCAGTATGATGAGAAATATTCCTCGTGACACTGTTTTCGAATAGAACTGAGAGGGCAATCTCGCGAAATACGTAACTTTTACAATGTGAAACAAACACGAGTCCGAGCGATTTTGAGGTTAAGTTCATTCTAATGGTTGCACATTCACGCATAGATAATACTCGCGATTGATCTTACAGTGCGGCATAAAATGCGCACAGGTCAATTACATGTGTTCCAAGACGCATGTCATCGCATGAATAAAGCAAAACGGAGGCAAGCACGAGCGACACTGTCCGAGAAAACAGATTCGATGCGAGATGAGTAGTAACGCGAACACAACCGGCGTAGATTTCTGCGAGTGCACTGGCCGGTTTCAATTTAACTCGCAACGACACTCTACCGAGTGGTAATTTATTTTTAAATGATACAGCCGAGCCTCCGACTCGCGGCCAATCGCAGGTGCATTAATACTGCACAATCCAGCTGAGCCTCTCTCGCGCCTTTCGCCACGCACGTGGCGGAGAATTTGATAAATTCGCGGAACGAGACAGACCGACCGAGCCAGTTCTCTCGGGAACCCACGCGCCCGCTGTTCTCCATTTACTTTAACGTTTCTTTTTTTTTTTTAAAGAGTGTATGATAAAACAAGATACGATATCATTATGAATACAAAATAAAAAGTGAATGTCAATAGACTGTACAAGAAGCAAAATAATTTTTTAACCGACGGTATTATTGAATATTGATCAGTTAAAAATTGTTGACTGATATTTATTGTATGCCACGTATAATAAATTAGATAACAAATTAGAAATTATCAATAATTCATTAGTTAAATTTTGTTATATAATTCGTACGTAAGATAAATTAAAGAAATAATATAATGTGATTATATAGGGGAACAGTACGATGTACATGTATATTTGAATTTAAATTTTATTTTATAGGAGGAGAGCAGAGGGCGTTAGTGTCTTCCGCGTTTTCAACTCCGCCGCGTCGAATCCGTTTGAATCCGCGTTTTAATTGTGAAAATTGTGTAGAAAAACGACTTCTATTGCCGTAAATCTATCTCAACGAGTGATATAAAGGTATATTGATCCGCAAAATCGTATAGTTTAATCGAAAGCATCGACAATTTTGTTTCTTTCAATGATCGTAATTTTGCATCAAGGGAACATTATAGCTACTTTGTATGTTAAATTTGTTGTTAACATTTCTATATACGTATATTTCTATATCTTTTTTTTGTAAATTCTTTGTCCTTTTTCGTAGGTTTTCAAATCACTTTGATGATTATATCACAACTAGATCTAAATGGAATGAGCCAGGAAAGAATTAAGAAGAATAAAATAGCCGTAAATTGACGCATTGGAAACCATTGGCGTAAGACTACATTATTGGTGAGTTGAATTTGAATTGAAATTTTGTGCATGTGTAAGTAAAAATGTATGCACGCGCAGCGTTAAAGATAATACATACAATATTGCAATATTTATACGATATTGCATTTTAAACAGTCAAATTTACTTTTTTACATGTATGTTTACTGTTTTTAATATATCTTTAACACGTTGGTTATTTTCAATAATTATCATTGCATTAATGACATTTTTTCCCGCCAACTATTAGTTAATCTTTGATTAACATCCTTTCTCTTCATCTGTTTTATGTATTTTTTCTTTTCTTTCTTGTTACTTAAAACGGCATTAATCTTTAATGCAAAGTAGTACTTCCTGTACTATGTAAAAAATAGAGGAAAAATAATTTGTAAAGAATGTTGAAATATATTTTTTTAAATAAGGGAACAATATAAATTGGTCATCTGTCAGACTTCCGTGCAAAGAGTACTGTATTTGAATTTTTGAAATTTGTACTTTAATTTGAATCCAAATTTGCTTATTTTTTAAATAAGTGTGAGTTTTTGATTGATACAGTAGAATTCGACCTTATCCATAGAACAGAATTATCTTTGTGATTCAAACATTTCATGGAAAAAAATCTTATTAAATAAATATTATTAATCAAAATAAGTAAGTTTCTATGAATAATATTAATCAAAATATAAATTTCTATTAATTATATTTTTGGGGTTTTATTTTGGAATTACATTTTCAGAAAGAATTTCAAGTACATATACTATATGTCCAATGATTTATTAAAAAGAAGTAGATAAGAAGCGCGGTCATATTCAACATATGGGATAATCACACTTTGCAATTTAGATGTATACGAATACCTCGTATCGAGCTGTGCAGAATGTTCTGGACACTCGATCCTTTAACTTGACACTCAATCCTAGATAAAGAAATCGATCCTCGCCGCAAATATTTATAAAATTCTCCGGTAGTCGGGCAAATTCTATTCTAAACACGTTCATGAAATAATCCAAACGTTTGATTTTGCTTCTTTTCACCAAGGAAAGAAAACAAGATTCGTTTCTATCTTTATAAATAAACGTCAGATACTCCTTTTATGATTATCCGAACTTCTAAGAAAATTGCCAATTATTGACCTTGTTTTTTTCTCTCAAGAGAGATAATCTCCTCTTCCTCGATATAATTCAAAGCTTATTTAATTCGATAAAAATCAAAATTTTGAAAAGTTAATTCCATTTCGCAATTTTAACTTTAATCTTTTTTAAATTCTAATTTATCTTTAATTATCCTTTTTTATTTGATTTAATTATTTCTCACTTTTTTTTCCAATTTACAAATTTTAAGGGATCCTCTTATGTGAAAGACAGGAATGCAAATATATGTAAAAGAATGTAGTTTTACCAATTAGAAACCGGTCGAACGAGAAATCACGTCCTCACACATGGTCAATTTTTTCCTGAATTTTCTTCTCCTAGTTGCATGCTGTCTCATACATTTCCTGCCGTTGAATCGAAAAACATGATCTTGTATGAAATTACCATAGTTGAAACGTATTGATTCTGAGCAAGGCTACTTAGTTTATTAAGCTCTAAGCTTTTTGAATGATTTTTCGGTTCTGGCCAACTAATTTCATAGTTATTTAATTATTTTTGCTAGCACATGTATCTAATATCACCACTTAAAATAAAAATGCAGCAAGCAATATATGCTATTTTATTTCACAACTACATTTTATTTTTCATTATTTTAGGAAATAAACAGTTTGAAAGGCTTGTAATAAGATATTCTGCCTTCTAGTTATCCAGATTTTTATATAAAATTGATACTTAGATTTTAAGCACTTTATCTGAAATTTGAAGGGATTTTAAATGGATATTTATCTGGATTTTAAATTTTTCAAAGATATTTTGAATGAAAAATTCTTTCTGGAATAACAATTAGTGATCTTCCTCCATTCTCAAGTTCTTTGTGCTCTGCTTGAAAAGAGTCATCATTATTATCATCTAAACTCTATCTAGATATCAAATATATATGCAAAATGTTTCCTTCAAAGATTTCCAACATTTCCTTCTTCCTGTCATCTTTATTATCAAATTTCTGATTGTGAGAATTTCTTTTGTTCCTGAGAGGAATCAGTATTATTAAAAATACCTCAGAGTATTCTACAATTTTGTCTCTTATGATAATGGAAAGTTTCTTGATTGCGAAAAATTTCATGGGAATAAGTTTCAAATGTGAAGGTTATCTACTCCTCATGACTGATATGAATTTCATATATCACGCTTGTATTTCATGACTTGTCTCACACATAGTTGCTTTATACTTTTGGACGTTGATTTCTGTATTTTCTTTTTTAGAATTTTCTACTTCTAGTTGAACTTTGGAATATTCCATTTCTTACTTTATCACAACTTCTATGTAATAAAAAGCATACAGTATCTAAAATAGATTTCCTTTTTCACATTGGTGTAATTACGCCAATTGTGAAATGATGATGAAATTGCACATTGTAATTTCAATATAATATCAAAGCAATGAAGGTGACTTATGCTTTTAAGATTTCATTCTTTCTCATACTTGCATGCAGACTTCATCAGAATTCATTGTCATTCAAATTCTGTCAATGAATATTAATCTACCTTTATACTGTGTTCACTTATATTTGTCTTTACAAAAGTTGAAATATATTTGCCTTTTAATATATTTAAATTTCATTTGAAGCATTTAAAGCCAAAGTGGTCTATGCAACAGTTGTTTTTTTTTTTTTTTTTTAGTATTAATTTATTTCCATGAATTTTATTTACTTAATTATATGAAAGAATCATACAAACGTGTATGCTTTCCAAATCAAATCTAGAAAACATAACAAGTTAATATATAGAATCAGTTAATGTATAGAATATTTGGTCTTCATTTCTTAGCATTTAATATTTACTTCTTTATCATAGAGAATTCCTCATTTTGCCATGCATTGAAGTCTATTTTGTCTTCTAGTTATATCTAACATGAAACACTGTTACATAACACTCATTTGTTGCCATTTTCATTTCCAATTAAGAACATAAAGATTCGAGGAAACCATGCAATTCCAAATCATGGGTATGAGTAAACATTTCTGTTGGATTTGTTTGAGCTTTAGTCTTCGAGCAATATTGTTAGTTTTCAACATTTTCAACGTATATTCACACAGTGTTTACCGTGAATATTAATGGAAGATTATTGAATGGAATTAATTATTCAAACTGAATGTTGCAAAGCAACAGATTTTCTTATCGTCGCTTGCTTTCCTTTTACGAATTATCATGAATTATGGACACATAGTTTTATGTATGTTTGACTATCCGAGACGTCGTTGCGCAAGATTCCTTTTTTCCTGAAAACCATGCTGATACTTTGAACCTGATTATTCTTTTCAGTCAATATATTACAATTGTAGCATCTCTCGGAAATCTGCTTTTTAAAAATTTAACTATGAACTTTACGAGGAGATTTATATTTTATTATTTTTTATCACAGCGATTTATTTATTTTAGATTAAATTCTCTCTCTCTCTCTCTCTCTCTCTCTCTCTTTTAGACTAAAATTTTAAATACCTTTTATTTTAAAATCTTTTTTATCGGAGAATCAATGTTTCGTTGTACCAGGATTTCACAATATTAAAATACATAATTTATGACGACCAAAGAAATTGGCTTGCCGTCAAATTCCAGATTTTCAAATATTCCTTTCTAACAAAGAATCGTTAGTTCAGAGGTTTCGCAATATTTCATTGATTTTACAAGAATTCACAAGTCCTTCGGAAAGCTCTTCAAACGCGGAATAGATAGAACACACGCTGCTTTTTGTACGAAACAGATGAAACGAAATTACTTGATCTTGAATTTTAATTATCTGTCGAGGTCAACTTCGTTAATTATTACTTATGCAATTCCTCTTTGTTACTATACCAATGGTTGAAGGTGAATTATGAAAATCGCTGTGTCTGATTTACGTACATGACTGTCGTCAATGCGATTACTGTCGTCGAACAACATTATATAAACATTATATATATATATTATATATTATATATATTATATTATATATTATATATATTATATATATAT